AAATGATCTTGTTGTACTTATGTGTTCAATAGCAGAATGACTTCTCCACAGATTATTGACGTCAGACGAAGCAGCGTCAGAACATTATTGATGTCCGCTGAACTATTCGTTCTTTGTATGTAGGCTGAACAATTGTATATGCGATCGCTGTATATGAACATTTGAATTTTTCTACATGTTAAAACTTGACTTACTTGAGTGATGATGTGTTTGATTACTCACGAAAACAGTTCACTTATTAAATCATAGCATAGAAAGTCTACCCAATACCCTATGAATAGTTCAAATGAACACAAACAATTCATGTCACTCAGACAATCAATATGTTTTGAACAATCGGTACTGTAAGAGAATTGCCATCAACTAATATGATAATATCACGACTACGTCCAATGGAATACTCCGTAGACTTTAACTAACTGTAGCGAAATGTGAACTCAATTTATCCTAGACGTTTCCGATGTCATGGAATATATAAACGTGTTTCGTTTTAATCAATAATAACATATTTTTATGTTGTAAGCAGATCACAGAGAACCCATGAAATTGAAGGTCATTTGCTATGATAATTTTCCTTTCTTCGTTCAAGTGTTTACAAATGAGAAAAGTTGTACGAAATAAAAGTAACATTAAATTCAAATGGTACTGTTTACTTGAATCTTCCCATTGATGTTAAGGATTGCGATCGGTCAAACTCTAATTAGCATGTCTGAGTATTGTGCTTATTGTCTCACTGTTATGTTCAGTAACTAGCATTGTAAGTAGAGATGGATAGTGGCTATCAGTGGAATCGAAACCACTTCATTCTATGTGGGACTCATCAGCTGTATGTACCTGCATCTCAGGGTTGATGTTCACTATTGAACTTGAATCCAGTACCGTTCTCTTTGAAAACCATCGTGATATTCATTTAGCTACTGAGTCCCGATAGCCACTTGCTTGTGTCGTTTCTGCAAATACACCCATCATAAAATAAATGCTTATTATTTTTAAACTGAAATAGACGCAATGTTAGCTAGTTAATTCCGTTGACTATATACATATTTCATGTTAGATATTTGTATGGGAAAAACTCCTTTGAAGTTCAAATAACAAATAGAAAACTATTTGTCTTCCTATGATCAATGACAACTAATTGAAAAACATCGGACAGATTAGGTAGCGGATCGTAAAAAATACTAATCGGTAGTAAGATGTCAAGTGTATTAGTAGTGATAAGAGTAAAAACATGGTTTTAGATGAACAAGCGTTTTAGCAGTGGAGAGTAGATGAAAAATTAAAATCGCTTGACACAAATTGTGTATATATGTTAACAATTAGCTTGAACATAAACGTCTTTCTTAACAAAGAAAGGGATAGGTACAGTACAAACGTTTGTTAGATAATAAGACCAGCAGGTTACTAGCCCGAATATCTACATCCTTCACACTTGATGGAGAAGCTCTGGAAGATGTGGGAAGCTTCACGTACCTTAACACTAGCATCAATGAACCGGCAACATCTAATGGAGGTGTGAAGGTGCAAATCGACAAATCTAGGATGAAGATGCTACAACTGAGGAACATTTGGAATTCAAAACAATTGTCAACCAACATCGAAATTCAGAATCTTCAATTCAAACGTCAATACTGTTTTGTCGCATGAAGCTGAAACTTCGAGAACTACTACAACCATCGTAAAACTGATACACGTATCTATAAACAGTTGTCTATTCAAGATACACAATCTCCGTTGGTCCTATACAATAACGAACAACCTATTGTAACAGAGAACGAAGAAACTTCTATTTGAAGGGGTAGTTAAGAAGACACGTTGAATACGGAAAGGACGTTTATTGTGAAAATCATGTAACTTCATCACAAGGCAATCTCTGACCTGGAATTCCGAAAATGAGTGGAATGGAAACCAGTTCTGACTACTGATCTTGCATTTTCAGACTGTTTACATAGTGACTTTGATCAACAATCCATTAGAATCGTGATCTACATCTGGAACATGATGAATCAGTTCACTGCATTGGATCATCAGATTGTGAGAACCCTCAGCCATATGTCTAAACATCAAGAAACCATGATAAATAAAATTGAAACCCCTATAACTATAAGCATCTATCATGTTCGCATATTTACAACTTTTATAAATGGTAATAAAATTCGTTAACTGTGTTCACAGATGCAAAACTCAAAGTCCATAAACAACTCAAAACATCAATCCAAACTTCAGATGGAATAGAAGTTGAAATTGAAACGTTACTTGATTTATGAATGATCAAACACTTGAAACTTTGTCAAAACCGAAAATAAAAACGAGAAATAGCGATATTGTGGACTTCGTTGCGTATTTTTCTTCGGTGAGATCAAAGACTTCGGTGAAGTTGAGACATGAATTAATGAGAATACTATAAACATTCATTCTTCATTGTACTTTAGTTTGGAATGGGAAGCAAAGGAATTTCACACTCGTAATATCGACTTCAATTTAAACCTTATAATATTGTATAACTGTTTAGTAAAATCAGTTAAAAACAAAACACAACTGTCATTTCAACTCATTCTAAGTATCCATCATAATAGGAATTTTCACAGTCACAGTCTGTTCACGTGTTGGTCATGGTTGTATATACACACACTGATCTTACTGGTATCTTCTTCAGGTCGAACTCTCATATATAATCATATACAAAGCTTATTCTGGCTTCCGAACGAGCCAATTTTTTCATCCTTCTTTGGTCACATACTGACATTGCCAGATATTCATTCATCCAAATTGACTGTGTTTAGATGAGCAAATGTGCGTGTATTGCTTATTGTACTCATCAAATGTCTGTAGCTTATTTTTGTCTGGTTATAAATATAGATCAACGCGTGAATAAACTGAGTTCACTCACACGGCTTCTTCGCTGCGTGTCATTTCGCTTGCATTTCTTCTCCTCGGTTCGTTTCTCTGCTCGTTTGTCTGGACCAGCAATTTTGTGAAATATACGTATTCAAAATTCGTTCTCGTATTTGGCACGGTTTATTTCGTTTCTCACTAAAACGAAGTAAGTCAGTAGTTATATACGAGTTTTGGCGACATGTCCATCTCAATGACCATCATAAACGAGTCAGATAAAGAGGTGCTAGGAACTAGGTGTACTTCAGTTCACTTATTTTGAGTTCCATTTGTTCTTTCATTGTACGAATGCCATTTCATCGTCATCACATATGCATCAGATCCTCTACGTTTATAGATGGTGCGGCTGACCCGGTATATGAATATTTCCACCTCTTACAGCGTTGCCCCATCGAGTGTGATTGCATTAGTGTTTTCCTTGTTGTATTTCAGGATATTGCTTTTCCCTTTGTGTATATTGTGGGCTAATGGTGCGGAGACTGCTGCTACACTAGCCGTTTTCATCAGCACTTACTCGTGTGCATGGGATAGAAGAATTAGGTCATCTGCGAAGTCGAAATCTCCCCGGTGATTCCGAGTTGCACATTGTATTCCGTGTTTCTTCTCGCATGTCAAGGTCTCCATAATTCATTCGACAACTAGGAGAAAAGGAAAGGGAGAGAGTAAGCACTCTTGTCTGGTAGGTCTATTAACACATGTAGACTACAGTCATGCTACAATTAGTGAAATGTTTCTCTGAGAAAAAAGAACATCTTTTTGTTTTAGTGAATTTCGTTATCTTAAGGATTTGGAACCCATTTATTCAGTCAGAAGTTCCCACCGCTCTCCTGTCTAATAAGGTGGATAGTAGGATTATCGCTCACATAACCAGGTTCGCTTCAATATAAGTGTATGAACCTACATTCAGTAAAGAAAACGAAACTAAAATTCATCACACAATTCAAGATAGTTTGGTGTTTGTTCGACGTCCTCCGTAACCGTGAATACGAGAACTTCCGCGTTCACAGTTTTCTGAATAGATTTGTATCGTTCAAGAATAACGTCATGAGATGAAATACATAATATGTACTTAATGAGCTTAGCCGCCAAAACAATGCATATATTCGCCAAGTAGGCGGTCATTCTCAACAAAGCAAGGGTTGGGTACATCACATAGTTTTGTTGATTCCTAACACTTGAAAGTTGTTGTCTTGAATACCTATAACATCCACTGTATGTAAAGGACGACTTCGAATCCAATCTAAGTAAAAGAATGTGAAACGATTGACTGTTGCGAAATTAAAAATTGTCATTTACATTTTCACTAATCACTTATGAACTTTGTATTCTGCTTGAAAGGATCTTGGATTTCCTCGGTGGTTATTTATACTGTTACAACAGATAATGTCATTTCTGAACGGGCATCATTCATCGATGCAATAGCCGTTTAAGTGCTACATTCACGAACAGTAACACTCTCTACTTCACCGTAGGCTCACATGGCGGTACAATTCATTGGTTTATTGAACAAATAGATGAAGACAGAGTTCAATGTTCACAAAGTGATAAAATCGGTCATTAATCAGTTTTGCCAATAAGATGAATTACATTTTGTGATATATCTGAAAACATCACAATTTGCATAATTATAGGTATATCATCTCGATTTTAGTCAAGCGAAAAGACCTTCTATTGCTTCACGATTTATTATTCATAATTACGATCAAATACATTGTGATGCTTCAGATCAATCAAATAAAAACTGTGAAACAAAGCAGACCAAAGTTTAATGGTCATCAACAATTCAGGTATTTCCCTGAACATTTGTTAATTTAGTCAGTCATCTACAAAACAAGACCAGGCACATTCGTTAATCAAACTTTTCAACGATGTTGAACAAACACTGAGTATTTCTTCGTTCAGTTTCGCGTTCTTTGATCACTATGATACTGAATAAACCTAGCTGTTGTTGTGGAGTCTGTCAGTTGTAAGGAACATCGAATCTAGGATATATATCCGATTCCAGATTTTATATGACTAACCACCTCTCGGTTTTAGTAGTATAAAACGTCAACTTGAAATTAACTAGTTTCCTTATCCTCTCCTACTTTTATTTCCCGAAAACATAGGAACAAGCAGGAATATGTATCAAGTATCCTGGTGAGTCAGAAACTCGTTCGACATTCACAAAACCAAGTCATTGTGTATCAGAAGTTTTAACAAATCATGGTCAACTACGTGTATGTAAACCAGGCTATCAAATTAATCCACATTCAGAAATTAAACTAGATGGATATGGTCCTATCAAACAGTATGAATTGAATAAAATGGAACAATCAGAGTATGCACAAACTTATATTTGGCCAGATGGCAAAACGATACATACAAATCCATGGAACAGATTACGAGAAGCTAATCATTTGTATGGTGTTAAATGATTCTGATAATTCGGTTGCCTTCATAAAACTAAGCATTGTAACATTTCATATTAGTTTATTTAGTTAAACAAATCATTCAGTAAATGAATCTGTTTAAAGCTAACAAGCCTTTTTTTAAATAAAAATAAGCAAACACCAAAGACGATTAGTCAACTAGGACAATAGGGTTCTAATAATACAAGGATTAGATCGCCATCTATAAGTGAGTGATGGACAAGAATATAATTTATGAACGAACCAATCAGGTCTAAGATAACAGGTGTCGGATTTGGGCGCAAAAATCATTCATCCTTTTGGCTTAATAGAGTTTCGGCATTATAGTTTATATCAGTTCGTGATGAAAACCTGAAGTCTACTTCCGGCTATTACTCCAAACTATTGATACATTCGACGAATACAACCTGTTATGGTGGGCTGAAATGTTAAAATCAGATTGATGATCTCATTATGATTTTTATTCAACATTAATTCCGTTTAACTCAATCTGATGATAAGTGAGCATAGCATTTGTTTCGTTTTCACCTTTGTGATTGTATTCTGAATAACATACGATATTCGTGTATGAATTATTTTCCATATATGTGATTTATTCTGATTATTATTCAGAAATGGGTGTACAAACCAATATATAAATGAGTGTATTTCCGATTAGACTTGTCGGGATCGCTCGTGCTTCTGGCTAATATCAGAATATATTTCTACGTTCGAACGTGGACTCCACTCTTTAGCTAGCAGAGCCGGGACGCATCAGAATAGCCAGCTAATTGGTCTTTGGTCACAGAGTCTTTTTTCTCTTCGCAGACTAGGTGAACTCGTAATCGCAAATTTGGCGACGAAGTTGGCACAAACGTGGATCTTTCGAAAGTGAAATGATTGCTCGAGCAGTAGGTGAAACGTATACAAATCTTAGCAGATGCACATCGTACGCCTAACTTTCAACCAAGCGCTTCTAATCCTACTTTTACTGCACCATCAGTTGATGGTATCGCGAACAGTATTTCTGAGTTGCATTACGGTCCTGAATCCAAAATCTTTTTTGATATATGGTTTTGACGTTATGAAGACTTATTGAGATTTGATTTTGCTAATCAGGATGGCGCTTCAAAAGTCCGCTTGCTGCTTCGGAAACTGCGTCCTAGTGAACAAGATAGATATTGTAACTCTATTCTGCCGTTAAACAGACTTTACCGCTCATCCTCGGATACCGTCTAGTACAAATTTTCCTAATCCCATTTACTATCGGCTTTTATGTTAAAATGTTGAGTTTTTAACACAATATATATTTGCAGGTCAATTTTTCGAAAATCATACAACTTTCGTTAACATCAACATTACTATGTTCCAAAGGAAGGTTATCGATTTAAGTAGTTCGGAATGATTTTTAAACTACGCATAGTCTCCAATTGAGGTGTCCCTATGCACAACTATCCGCATCTGTTTTAAAGAATGCACCTAGAGTCTCAGGGAGGTCACCACCCAAATGAAAACAATATAAATAGAGACCACTATCTAAATAGATGGACTGATTTATGAACTTAATCTGACAGTAGGCTGACAATGAAAGCAAACCGTTTCAGAATGAACAATTTTAAAGACAATCACTTGTTGTAAAACAGATCAAACTAAATAATGCTTACGTGAGATTACAAACAAAATTATAGTAATAAGACTTTGTCATCAATTCGTACTGTTCTCAGCAATAATTATCTAAGCAAAAGGATTCCTAACAGTTAAACTAATCCTTCTCTTCAACTGCCAAAACTTTGTTACTAAACAGCCAAAAATAAACAGTTAATCTGGAACGTGATATGAGTTGGCTACGCAATTATGCATAATGACATCGGAATGTGAGAGGTTTCTACAATCCCTAAGGCCATGACTGCTAATATAAATGACTGAGGAAACAAGAATGAGTATTATCTGGATCGTGCATACAATCACCATCAAAAGGTGATTTGCAACTCATGGAAGGCAGCTGATACATGACAACTAAACCTATTAAAAGGATTTTTTTCTTACATTAGAAGAATACTGCAAAATGAGAGATTGAACACGTCAACATGTTAAGGAAATTAGTCACTCGAAAAGAAGAATCGGACTCGATCAAGGTTGGAAACATACTGAAATGTTTTAGTGGAGTTTCTTGAGGTGTAACACGTCACATAGCTGACACACGGTTGAGGAAATCAGCACAGCGCTTTGCTAGTTCAGCACTCTGGAGTCTTGTAGATCAACACGTCTGGTAGTGTAAAAAACACTTCTAAATAAAGCTCTTAGACGCATAAAAGTTCATATCATACTGACACCAAAGCAGTACGGCTACACTGCTGCCAGCTTTCGCATGGAAAACTCTACCAAGTGAAAAACCTGCTCACTGAGACAGGTGGTTTCCGTGGGGTGTAACAGTCTGAACATTTATCCTAATAGTCTAATCCTCGCACTATACTTGAACATCCATGACAATGACTTTAAACGCATGACCATATAGAAGACCTTGAGGGGAAAAAACTAGACTCGGGGCTCAAGACAACATATGCCTATGTGGTAGAATCCAGATGACATCAACTCATGGAACTCGAAAAGGAAGTAGAATCTTGCCAAATCCGAATTCAAAATATGTGAAGATGAACTTGATACTCATTGGAAATCAGCGAGTAGCCTCTTCCATTGGTACAAATCTAATTTGTCTGCCCTTCGTACTTAATTTCAATGGAACATCGATACCGTGTGGATTACTAGGACACTTGAAAGATGATGTTAATTTTCGGAGAGTTACAATTGGTGATGTTCGTTTGGATCGACGAATATACAAGTGGTTTAGAACGTCCATGACTAGATACGAATTTCACTGCGACGTGATCTACCATGGCAATGATAATTGTCTTAGTAGTTGATATGAGAAACTACTGCTTTAGATACCGAAAAGAAGTGACATAAGTGTGGGTGGAAGTCGTGACTTGAAATACACCCAGTGACCAATTCATCAGAAGTCAATACATGTTAGACGCATTATTGTGATCACTTGACAAGATTTTTAAATGTCTTCAACTTTTGCCTGAAAACGTGGGCGTGCCTGTCGGATATTTTATTGTATAGTTCTGAAATTCTATGTAATATTTCTCGTCAAGTGATAAGAATTGTCAAGAATTTTAACCAATTTGAATAGGATTAACTTGATCACCGATGTTAGACAACCAAGGGAAATTTAGAGTGAACTGTAGAGACGGATGTAAATGCATCTCCATATCCATTTAATCACGTTTACTGCTCCGTCCCTTGCATACAGACTAGACTTTCTACTCGACCCAACATTCCAATGGGTAAAGAGCACACTGAGAAAACTGGTGCAATATTATTCTAAATTACATATCAGTAAGATAGCTGACTGCAAACGTCTAAAAATAGGGAAACGAAACCGTGGAGTGATCTTTTGGATGTTGAACCCAATGCACTTTGAAGAATTAATTTATTTTGGAGACTTACGATATACATTTCACTGTGATGTCGTTAACTGCTTTCCGTTTCTTTTTCCTACCCACGGGTTCAAGGTATCGTCTCAAATAATCAGATTTATTGTCCTTCGAAGGGTCGTTTGTAGTCATTTGAAGTTTTGGGAATCATTGGCGTTGAGGAACAAAAGCATCCCGAGGTTTTCAAAAGGGACAGTGCTATTTTTCCACTGAGTATATTTTGTTTTATTGATCGTTAAATTACGCATCAAGATTACCGTTTTCTCTTCAATGTAATTTAATTCAGTTAAAGTAATCCTCAAGAGTACCTTCTTCTATCTAGAGAAGTTTACCATCTCTACTCTACGAGGATGGATTTAAATAACTAAACGCAATGGTATTTATTATTCTTGGTTGAGTATATCATTGGGTATTGTTTGTATCCATAAGTGTTAATGTCTTTCGTAGCTACAAAAGTTGGCTTGTTTCATTGTCGTCAAGTACATTGTTTTATATATAAACATAAAACGAATCTATGAAACAATTGAAACCCCGTTGTGGGAGGCCGGCATACTATTTCCCTGTCGATGATAAAATGTTATGTGATATCTGCAATAGTGGTATCACATTGTGTCCAACGAACTCACACCGGCTGCACATAAACGGCGCTACAAGCCATTATTATGTTGGTTGTGCAAACAATGACTAATACTTGATGATTCAAGCGGACAAAACGTTTAAGCACTGTAGTCGTTCGACAAGAGACCAAACGCTCATGTAAAACTAGCTGTAACTTCACAATAACCTGTAAGGAGGAGATTTGATTGTTCAAACTGTTTGTCACCTGTGGTATTGGAAAGTCGTACTACAAAATTAGTGTCTAATTTTTTGAAGATTTTCGAATGTAGAGGAATTTCTAAAATTGCAATTATCGTAGATGTGATATCAAGTGTGTCAGATATAAAATTCAAAGAGGCTTTATGTCAAAGCGTCTGAAGGCTTCGAGTAACGTTCGTAACGTAGGAGAACGTCAATGTTTAGTCTTTCCCAAGCCATTGGTAAAGATAACGCCTTAATTATCTTGTTTCAAACCACTTGGATGTAGTACCCTGTTGATAAGTCAGTTTTCACCTGTATAGGCAAGATAATTCCAACTACAGATAGTAACCAATCCGTTCAACTAGTTTAGTGTTACTTACTTAGGCCTATTCTCCCCGTTGAGGAAGAAAGGCCACACACCAGCGTTCCCCATCCAACGCTCTCGTGAGCAGCTATTTCCAGTTGCTAATCATTCTTTTCGTGTCTGCTTCCAATCAAATAAATGTACACGAACAAGACAGATTTTCGCAGATACCATCAACAACTGTTATTGTATTTAATAACTGGCACGAAATTTAATGAAGAAACCAACAAACGAACGTTTGTCCACGAAAATGATTTTCCAGTAGCTCAATATATAAACAAACAAACTCTTTCAAATCAATCCATGCAATTGGAATACGTTAAGGACGAGAAAACAAAGAGGCAGATTTGATTTACAACAATAAACTA